CTCAGTAACGTACGTTTTACGATTAAAATATAGAATAGAAAACAGAACAACGATAAAACTAAGAATCGTTATAATACCTGCCTTTGTTTTTAAATATATTGTGCAACGTCATGAAAAAGGTTCCACAAGGCTAAATTCAAGTAATGCTAACATTGTTAAGAAAAATTGGTTAACACAGAGATAATAAATAAAACAACTCTATGGCTAAAATTATAAAATTTAAAAGCTGGTTAAAATGAATAAACAAGAACGCGGAACGAACTGCAGTTAACACCCCGCCACACATTTTTTGTGAAGTGTCCATGTTTGAAAACAGAAAGTTAGTGGTTTTTATACATAATTTATTGTTTTTGTGTGTGTGTTGTTTTAGCGCGAGCCGATAACGTAAAAGCGCGGTAAAATCAGGGTTGTTGACGTCAATGTTTCATCCTATTATTTATCTTTTCTTTTTAAAATAATTAAAAAAAAACACACACACACACACACACACACACACACACACACATACGAAGCATTATATAGACACAGGAGCTAGTAATGTTCATTTTCAGTACCATCGGTCAACATTCTTGTTAACCCACCACAGATTACATAACCTGTTAAGTAAGACTAGTCGTTAGCTCATAATAGTATTCGTTGATTTCTTACAGGAGTGTACGGCCTTATTAAAAACTAGCCATACTAGTCGCGTAGGATCTTCGAACCAAACATGTATGCAGAGAGAACCTAATGAGCATAATCCCGGCGCGTATAACCCGTAGTTGACGTTATACTAGCTTAGGTTGTTCACCCCTACATAGGGGTAAGAAAGTCCACGTGTGTGTCTCGACGATCCCGCCAGAAACCGACCCACATGAACCACACACTTGTAGCACTGATTTATAATTTACAAGGCGCATATTTCAACGTTCGCCCATTAGGCTGGATTAAGGAAGCCCCTCGGTGACGTGAAGGTATTAAGGATGTGACTTGTCAAAAGCCATTATTAAATTACAATAATGCATAAAAATAAACCTAATTGATGAGCTTGAACCTGCTCCCCTAATGCCATCTATAAAGTTTTTTTTTTTAATTTTTATCTGTATAATGAGTGATTTATGTGTATATTACGGATTAGAGAACACTTTTAAAAACCAAAATGAAATGGTACCAAACTTCTTAATTTTAATAACTGATTTAATGTTTAATAATAAAAAATGTGAATAAAAAAGTGTGTCAATTTTCGACTAAATAACCTATAACTGACCACCGTACCACAAGAACTCATAGCCCATACCTTATTAGCCTTAGACTATAGGCCGTGCATTGAAACTTTTGAAATGTATTATTATATTACATCATGTTGGTAATAACTTTAGTGTTCAACTTGTCACATCTCAAACGCAAAACGGCGAGATTGAGATTAATTTAAAAAAAATATCTATAATCCTGTCTACTCAAGCTCATCATAAAATGACCTTTGCTTTGTGAACCTCACTCGGAACAAATTTGCGGGATTCTTTAGCGTGTGTGCAAGATAAAAACCTATCACATTACTAAAATTATGAGATGCAAGGCGGGGACCAGAGCGGTACAGCCGTTTAGAATAGCTGCTTCACGATAACTTAGGTACATAAAAGAGCTTTGTCTTGTTTTATTGCTAACGCATGAAAGTCAAGCTGTGGGTCTTCATTCGGCGTGTTTATAGCGTGCCTTAGTCGTATATTAGCGTTTTATGGTTAACGTGTGCGACTGACCGTCGTGGGATGAGACGAGACCGACTCGTGGGTCGGACGTGGGCGCTACTCCAGAATTGCAGCCTACGTGTGGGTCCAAGATACCATTGTTCCCTCGTTGCTTTTTATTTAAAATGGTTACTGCAGCCCATGGACACCTGCCGCCAACTTAACATAATGAAGGCTAAAGATGCGTTGTCACTCTGAGGATTAAGATGAAATGGAATCTCATGGCTTGTAATAAGACTGGCTTTCTATAAACTCCAGACTGGAACACAGCACTACACTCGCTGCTATTTGGCAGCATATGCAATATGTAACAAAAACCCTGTGGTTCCCGTTAAGTACGTTATCAGGATCATTATTCAAACCTATAGAAATAACTTTTTTTAAAACTCTAACAATTTTTTTTATTTTATTTATAAAAATAATTGTATGCAAATTAAATGTGGTTTTATTACCTCTGCATTGTCTGGGGAGTAAGAGGATTGTCAAAGACCCCGCTTTACTAAACTTTATCATCGGCTAGTGTCAGTAAGAGGTAATAAAACCACATAAAATGAAATAAAAAATTAATAAAGTTAAAAAAAATATATGGTCGAGTTTTAAAAAAGTTATTTCTATAGGTTTGAATACTGATCCTGATAACGTTCTTAACGGGAACCACAGGGTTTTTGTGACATGTTGTATAATAGTTTAGCAGTAAGTTAGGAGTGTTGAACCAAAAATCATAATATCATTTATGATGTCCTCATTATTGTACTGCCGAGTTTTAATAACCCAAACGCGAGAGCAATGAGGGATTATAGTTTTCTACTCACCAGATGTCGCTGTTGACACTGAGGTAAAGTTTTTCGTTACACAATGTAATATAATTGAGAATTTTTTTTTAATAAATGTTTATCAGTTTCTAGAGTATTATATTAATACACAGAACAATGCGTCAGTGGTTTGCTCTTTAATTTTTTGCACATTTTTTTACTTTTTTTTAAATATTTTTACTTTTATGAATATCTGTGGTTTGGTTTATTTATTTTGAATGTTATTGATTTAAAATATAGCTAATAGTACAGAAAGAAACAATAACTTTCACATTTTCCGACTAAATTAACTTCCTCGCTATGAAATCTGTCAAATTTTAATATTATACCTCTCTTTCTAGTGGCGCCGCCCTGGTGGCACAAAAAGTCGTGGATGCCATTCGTCATTAACAAGATTTGATAAGAAACTGTACAGGAAGTAATACGTATTTATCGTAACAGTGAAAAAACCACACGTCTTTAAAAATAACAGCAAAGGAACTGTTGTACGTGTAGTGTGTACCTTAATAAGTGTACCTATTCAACAAGTGGCCAATTCTCGTAACACTTGGCTGTAACAGATTAGAAAAAAGTTTTCTATTTCCTGCTTGAGAACCTTATCTAAAGTTATATTTTGAAACAGAATCGTTTTAAACGTAGTAGAGCTGCAGTTATATTAATTGTACAGTTGTAGCACGAATGGGTCGGCTCGACCGGGGAAGGAGGAAGGACCACGCTCTCACAGAATACCAGCGTAAATTAGCAGCTTAATGTTGCTGTGTTTTGTATGGTGAGTGTAGAGAACCGGGAGATCCTTTTTACTGGAAAAGAGGCATTCCATCTTAGTCCTCACGGCTGACAACGCATCTGCATTTTGATTCGCGTTTGATGTAGATGTCTATGGGCCACAGCAACCACTTACCATCAGGTAGATTGTGTGCACGTTTGTTATCCATAAAAAAGAAGCAACGGTCTTCGCTTGCTCTCGAAGTATTTTATTCCTCAGACATGCCGGTTCTCTCAAGTTGTTATCTTTCACCACCCAGGCCGTGATAAATGAACAACAAAAAATTGCAAAACAATTTTATTGATGCCGGCGGGAATATAACCTGGGTTGTTCCTAAACTATGAAATTCACGGCGAGCACTTATTCTCTGAGCTACCACGGCTACTATTAATAAATTATACGTTAATTGCACAACATTTCTTGTAAAGTTCAATAAGATAATTATCAGTTGAAGCTCACTATATACTTACCAACAGCCATCAAGCAAATCGTACAGGGAAAGTAGAATCGTGTGTAAACGTTAAACGTTAACAAATTATCTGTAATCAAATAACGCAAAAATTTCGAAGACTAAATGAGCTTAGTTTTTACTAATTAATGTTACCGACTTCCAATCAAATAGCCCAAACATGATGATAACAACCTTCCGTCACTGTCTGTAATAAGTCAGTCCGATGTACGAAATCGATGGCATGCATTCCAATATCATTAAGCCTTTTACAGAGACGTCCTAGATGTTTTGTAAGGTTTTGCATGGTATGGATACATGTTGAATAAATTGACTGATATATTCAGCGTCGAATGATGAGAGAACGTGACATGTGTTCGGTACCGGACGAATGTGCAATAAGAAATTTAAAAAGTTTTTATTGAAATTACGTGGAAGTACGCGTCCGCCGCGATTAAGGTGAACTTTTGAAAACGTTAAACAAACTTATATTTTAAAAATAATTGCCTGACTATAGTAATCGTGAAAGCTAGCAGAAATCTACGGTTGGACCTTACATAATCTAATTATTACTTCAGTTACTTTATCGTATAAACATTATGAATGTTTATACAAAAATGAAACAAAAACCGAATGTTTTTTTTGGAATATTTTAAAAATTAGTTCTGAAATATTCATTTCCATTTATATTTTATTGTATTACTTATATGAGTGTGGTTTTAACTTAAATTTTTATGAGGAATAATCGATTATATTGTGGTTTAGAGTAGAACAAGGACCGATCAAAACAACTTAATTTAAATTAATTATTGTCGTTTACAGTACCTAAAAAAAAAGGTTTTTATAAATTATATTTGTTGCCTCTACATCCTATGATCAGTAGACTCGATAGTTTGATAACTTAAAACCTTTGATTTAAAATTGGTCGTTGACATGAAAGAAATATATTTTCATTAACTGACTAAATGAATTTTAACTTAAAAACTAACTGAATGAATTTTATCATAAGACTGTAGTAACAGCCCGGGAAATTCCAATTACTAATAGTCGTGCTGAAACACACGTAGAAAAAGTTTAAAGTATACTGTATACTTCGATCATTGTTGATCGAAGACTGTATAACATATTAAATCAAATACGCTTCGTACACAGTGTTAACCGTCTTGAATTACTTAATTGGAATTTATTTAATCAAATTGAATAACGATGTCGAATGCGACCGGTTTTAATCATATTACTTTTATCGTTAGTGGTCTGACGTCGTCCGCGGAGCGCGGCGTGACGCCAGTGTACCTGCGGTGCCGCGAGGGTACCGTGTCGTGGCTGTACCCTCGAGGCGCACTACGACTGCTCCTGCGACCGCCCCTGCCTGCCGACGAGCGGGACTTCAACGTGTGCCTGCGGGTCATCCGACGCCCCGACCCGCCAGAGTTCTTCCACGACCTGCACTTTAACTACACAGGTGAGCAATCTTTTGTTGAGTATGTTGCACACACGTTGCAATGTAGTTTAGGAAAAGAAAGAAATAAGAAAAAGAAACTTACTAACTATTTCTTCGTATTAATGTTTGCGACACTTAATATTAATCACCAATTTTAGTATGAGCCCGGAATGTTTTTTTTTTTCCAAAAAATATTCCGCCGGAGCAAAAGATGTACTTTGCTACTTAAAGAGATAAAATCTTACTGAGTCATTGAATCTGCATTGTTTCTATAGTTTCCTTCCTTTTTGTTTCTTTAGATATACTCTCATCGTCACTACATGGATACTTAAATAGAATAAAAAGGTTACTTGGAAGTAAAAAATAATGCATGTTGCATCGTTTTCCAGAAAAGGCAGAAAGATTTCCTGCTCGCATCTTCGTAGAAGGTGCGCGAAAGCTAATTCCTCTGTACGCACCGGACGACGGCGACCCTCGCGAACTTCGGTGTTTCCGAAGCAAGCGCGGCAGAGCCGCACTGTACGTGGAAGCTGAGCCTGAAGAGGGACCTAAGAGAAGAGTGGCGACTTTTAAATACGAAGCACGGCCATTAATAACGAGGCACTACGACCCCGCCACTGCAGATTGCCGGCCTTGCTCTGATTCGGAGCTTGAGTTGGCATTTTGCACCAGCGATCTAGGTAAGTCAATTTTTTGTACTTTTGTTTGACAACTTATATCCAAAATTAAAGCTGTATAACAATTTTAATTTTGGATACTTGTTTTCTCAATACTAATTCAAACCTTGATCATTGGATGTAAAATAAAGGTTGGTTAATGTGTTTAAATTGAAAAACAAAATTACCATTATAAATTTGTTACTGCTTTTTATTTTTGAAATACAAGGCTGCGGTACTGGTAAATAATAATTTCACCATCCAGCATTCGCTGAGTGCGCCTAGTTGTAATTACACCGCTGCACTGTAAAGTGAACATAAAACCAGAAAACAGAAGCAGACGCACGTAAATGTTAATAAGCAAGGCGACGGCGACTGCACAGCAATTTGTCGCCATAATCGAAATTCCTCGCGCCACAAATTTAATTATACCTTCTTATATAAAAGCAAGATTCTTCCTTGCCAAACAGCCTTAAAGTATTTGAAAAACCGCGTTATGTTGCGCGCACTGTTCAAAAAATTTCTGAACTTCAGGCATAATTATTATGAAGTATAATTGTTAAAATTGACCAATTTACACTGGCTCACAAACGCAACAGATGGACGATGTGGCATTGTTTAATGATTGCAGATTGTAGATTTAGTATTTAAAGTTAAAACACTAAACACTATGACATTCTTTAGCTTAGATGCTTTGTATTCTAAGAATCCGAGATCCAAGCACTCTATAGCCGTCTTGATTTACGGAAGCACTTACTTATGCAATAGGATGTGACGATCAGTACTTAGATTCTATTAACGTCCATAATAAGTAAACAAGTTCTGGATAAACTAGTATGAGTACGTAGGCACGCGTCGCGCCGGGGAGTGCATGTAAAATAGTTTTTGTACTCGTTTGATAAATTATAATGGACGCCAGTTATTTCATAGAACATAAAGGAAACGCGCCCCGCGGGGCAGTGAGCGGCCATTTTACCTTTACCCAATATTACCTACGTTGCATTCAAATTTCGATATACATTATAAACATCGTAGTTGATTGATACTGGACTAATATAAATAAATAAATATTAAACTTAATTTTTTACCCTTTTTTCTCTAAATATTTTCCGTATTTTTCTGATAAAATACAGTTTAGATCACTCCTAGTACTGCTCCCTATCTTGCTCCAAGTTTCACCACAATTGTAGCTATTCCAAAGATTACAGATGGATAGGCAAAAAAATTTAAAATGGTTATAAATTTCTTAATACGACGCAAATAACCATCAATAAAAGGAAGTCATCCTCCAGCATCCTTTTCAAGTTTATTGTTTGGGATAGACTTCTTCCAAAAACAAAAAAAAGTTGATTTGCATTTTGTGAAAGATTTACCTACGCACACGCACGTTTTTTAATTCTATAAACATTTAAGAAAGTTTTACCGCTTAGCGTATGCTATTCCCATCATACCGTAACCTACATCACTAACTCACATAACATTAATTATTATACTACATGGGCCATGGATTCGATACACCACGTTGTTTAGGTGTGTTTGTTAGTGAGGATACACTTCAATTGTAAATGTAGCCTCCCATTACTACCCTGTGAAAATTGAATCGGCATTTTTGGTAAGATCCCCGCTAGAATACCCGCTTCTGTCGGTTGCCAGAGAGTTGTCCTTCGATCCAGCAGTGTGCAATGCGTACTGGTGTCATACTCTACATTATAAACTATTATAATAGTATAAATTATGTATAAATTTCACTACTTTCAAAATCTATTTCATAATGTCATCTCTAAAATTTTGTTCGTCCTTTTGAAGTGAGAAAACAAGTCAGTCAAATATGTTGGCACAATCATTACGAATTGCATTATCAGAGGTCATTTCTTGCAGCTACTGGATTAAGATTAAGTTTTTTACTACGCCGTGAAGATCAGTGTAACTGTATTGTATGTATATTATTATTATTTCTGAGAGCTATAATGAGAAAACTTAACTGAGAGCTAAAACTATTATCAGAGCCTCGAGACTGAATTGATGAATTAACAATAGACAATTGTTATTTTGCAGTATTGTTAATAAAACATTTTTAAATAATTTTAAATGATAAAATATCTAATCTACGAATAAGAAACGCTTCTAACAGTCATTTTAACACGTAGGAATTGAATTAAGACCGTATTTAGTAGACCCAGAGTATAGTTTCATTTTTCACTGTACACCGTTACCGTTACAGCCGGTCCTGTCCACTGCTGAATATAATCCTTAAAAAAGGCCTTCCCGTAAAATACCTCAAATGAGGAATATTTGTCATAGTTGCCACGCTTGGCAAGCGGGTTGGCAAGCGCAGTTTTTGATTTTTAGTCGTTATTAGGAAGACGCTGCTGCCCATCTCCTGATTTGCTTTCCTCTGTCGCCTCTTACGACACTGATACAGTGTAGTGGCGGTGTAAAAATATAAACTAACCCATATCATCCCGTGGGTGTCGTAAGAGGCGACAGAGACGGAAACAAATCATTATATTACTGAACGTCGAATTTCACATATTATCTGACAATAACGGAGCATTTAGTGGTCAATAATATTTGTATGGATAAAACTAACTAAACCTTAGTAACTAAAACTAGTACTTATTATTTTATTTAAAAGTTTAATCTTTGCTTAGAACTTTTTATTAATCTGTAACTAATTAATAGACGTTTGATTAATAAATAGACTTTAAAATGTCGGCCGTGACAGCTCGTTAATTAAAACCTGTGTAATTACCGGGTGTCTGGAAACATATTGTGTCTTTAGGTTGACGACCGAACACCAAAGGCCCGCAACTATTCACTTATCTCTCAAACAAAAGCACACTATAAAAACGCTGTTGCTTTTGCGCTTACTCACGGTCACGGTGAAAAAAATATATTGCACAGACAATGGGGACAGCGTGATTTTAATACTTATAACAAATCGAAATCGTTATCTGCCTTACAGATTACTGAACGCGACGTTTTAATTTTTTCTATGACAGTAATGTCTTTTGGCGATGACGTCATTGCCTTAAGTTTGTTGTTGCATAGACGGAGCTTAGTGGAAGGTATATAAAATATAATTTCAATCAGCTATGTAACGGACCGTTCTCCGTTTTTAATATTATGTAAGTACACATAATTCTTTTATGTGGTAACGGACCAGCTTGTTGCAGATTTCTATATTCTTTATATTTTTCGATTTATTATATTTTATAAGGTAAACTTGTGTGAGAAAAATAGTTTCTAGTTGCTTCTTTGGAAAAGATCTCCCACAGTAGAGACTTCTTGAAATGTTAAGGCCAATATATACAAATAAATAAAATTGAAGTAAAATTGAAGAATCTCAATGCATATTGAAGTATATACGGTACTTATATAACAAAAATACAGTTTAAAAATTTTTAGTCTGTCTGTCCGTTTGTTCCGGCTAATCTCCGAAACGGCTGGAACGATTTTGACGGGGCTTTCATTGGTAGATAGCTGATGTCATAAGGAGTAACTTAGGCTACTCTTATTTTAGAAAAGGAATTAGGGTTCCTCGCGGTAAATTAAAACTCTAAATTCGGGTAAATTAAAACCCTAAATTACACGCGGGCGAAGTCGCGGGGAACAGCTAGTTTTAAATAAAAACATTTTGGTTTTTGACATTTTGAACTCTTTGTTACCAGCCGCACACCATAGTCAGTCTTTATTAAAATGTATTAGTTCTTTCCGATTGGCTTGATCCACTGGCCTAGCGAAGAGACTTTGCATCTCTATGTAAGTTCTATCTCTTAAACCAGTGCTCAAATGAATTGTTGAGGTTAATTCCAGCTGTCGATTTCCACAATCAGAATCAAATCATCACAAGAGCCTACTCCTTTCCAAAAGACAGGCAACGCACCTGCAATCACTCGAGTTGCTTATGTTCATGGGCGACGGTAATCACTCAGCATCAAGTGAGCAGTGTCTCCTACAGAACATAACATACGTACATAAACACTCACGCAGTCACCCAGAGGGGTAGGCAGAGACTACGGACTTCCATTTGGCACATCTACATACCTACGTATATATCACTCTACTATAAAAAAGTTTCGCCTACTACGTATACGATATTTTCTAGAATAAGTAGTATTCTTACTAGGTATTTTAAGGTTATGTGTAGGCATAGAGTAGATCTTGTTTTAATATGTGGTTAATTTAGTCTTGTGGGGTCTTACCGCGTTGGTGACCTTGTATGTTGTAACTATCCTGTTTTACACCAGATGTAAAATATTCACTAACTGGGATTGTCAATTTACCTGCCAAGCGTGGTGATTGGGGAAATCCTTCTTACTGCGTGGTAGAGCCATGCTGCAGCTATATTAATTGTATAGTTGTAGCACGAATGGGTCGGCTCGACCGGGGAAGGACCACGTTCTCACAGAATACCAGCGTAAGATAGCAGCTTAACGCTGCTGTGTTACGTTTGGTGAGTGTAGAGAACCGGAGACCATTTTGACTGGAAACGAGGCATCTTAGTCCTCCCGGGTGACAACGCATCTGCATTTTGATTAGCAAACGAGGATAGATGCGGATGTCTATGGGCCGCGGCATCCACTTTCCTTCAGGCCTGTGTGCTCGCTTGTCACCATTATTCTATAATAAAAAAAACTATTCTGGGGATTTCTGTGTGGACCGATTCGGACGAGTGGTAAGGTTACGATAAATATAAAATACGTTAATTATTCTTCTTCAGTGTCGCGAGTGCTGATCGTGGGCAGCGACCAGCGCGAGGATCTCGACAGCACGCAACTTACGCTGCGGCTCACTAAAATACTGCGCGCCCCTGTGCTGGACGTCGACACTGATGACCTCGCGCACGATAACGATTATTATAAGTAAGTGTTTTAGTGTACATACCCGCATATTTTGCAGTGGTCAATTTTTAGGGAGTTCTAAACTGAACTCTCATAATTTGAGAATTTTATCCTTTTGTTCTAATATATAACAGTAGATAGTTTTAAGAGTTGTAAATGAAGTAAATATTTGATTACGTACATAAATATATACTTATCCTACATAGATGCGATTTATTGAGTGTAATTTTATAAGATAGTTTTTATAAATATCTAATAATAATGATAAGGTTTCATGAACATCAGCAGGTAGGTAAGCTTAGTTTTGGAAATATTGAGATTACCTAATTCGATAATTAGGTAAATTCTTAAATTAATTAAGAATTCATTAGGTAAGGTATAATGTCACCTTATATATTTCTATCTACAAATAGCTGTTTTTGCGTCGTTAAAAAGCCAGTGTAATATGACGTAGTTACTGGCTGGCTGCGAGGCAATTTGTGTTAGTTCTCAGAGGTAAGAACGCATCTGTAGTCTCTTTTGTTTGAATTTCGATGCTGGTGTCCTGGTGTCCCAAATGGCCCTATCAGGTGAAAGGTTTGTTTATCATTTTTACAAAAGAAGTCGAGTATAGCTTTGGAATCACTTGAAATAGTTTTCTCAAAATTTTCTTCTTTAAAAAACGTATCTACCTCTATACTAGGATTTTTAACTGTATCGTGGAAGCAGTTTATATATTTATATAAATTTCACAAGAATTAACATTCAGATGCGAATCAATTATTTGTAGGCCATACAAATACTTGTTTCGTGCGGGATTCGAATCCGCGGCCCTTAGCACTGCAACTTATTGTTAAAAGCCACTGCGCCACGGAGCTGTCAATACACTTATGTGGCACTACGTGTTTCTGTGTTGGTCGGTATGAGTACGACATACGAGTGCAACGCGACGCTTGTTGCAGATACTCTGTGGACAACGAGGTGGGTGGGGGGAGCGGCACGCTGGCGCACGTGCAGGTGTGGCGCGGGTGCGGCGCGGCGGCGGGCGCGGGCGAGTTCGTGGCGATGGCGCGGCGCCGCCTCGGCCGCCTGGCGCTCGTGTGCGCGCCGCGCCTCGCCCACTGGCGCGCGCTCGCCCGCCGCCGCGCGCCGCACGACACGCACTGCGCGCTGCGACACTGACGCACTCACGTACCTACGCACTCACGCAATCGCCTACCACTGAGGAACAGGCGCACATGTATCAGCGCAACTGGCCAACTATCAAATTCAAATCTTTAAGTAAAAATTTAATATCACAACAAACCAGCTACACTAGAGAGAGTACTGCACAGTGCTACGCTGGACGCGACCTACACTGCTCACTACGCGCCACTGACGCACAATATTTCCACTTTGAGGGCGTCCGCTGTGTTGCGCGGGAAGCGCGTGTGTCTAATTCTTCAAAATTCATCAGCAGCACTACGTCGTGCGGACTGCACGCGCCGCGTGCTCCCGCTCGTAAGCTTGTTTCATACAAATAAATGCGCCGCTGCGTGTCACCGGCTACACAGGCCTTGAAACTACCTTATATTTAAATATCAGTTCAGAGTAACTTAACATAAACCAACATCTCTGTCTTTACACAATTCATTTGCTATATATCGCAAATTACGGGTCGATTATTACGCCTTCTATATCGATGTTCATGTTAGTAGTGAAAGAAAAATAAATATAGGTTTCATAGTTACTGGTTGATATAGATAAAAATTAATATTTTATATTCTTAAAAATCTCTTGAATACTTTGAAATAAGTATGGAATATTATTTGCACCAAACATGAGACACGGCAAATAAATTCTAAAGACGGAAATGCTCGTAATAACGTCGCTACGTTGGCCGTTATAAATTTTTGAGATGGAACGCATCGTTTGGTCCCATAGCGCGCCGTGTAAATAATGCAGTTACTATCTAACATAACCCCATCATACAATAAAGGAATATGTCATCGCACTCGGTAATCCCACCGCCGTGTAACTAACGTACCTGGTATCCTTTGCCATCTCACCATAGAGTATTGATAGCGACGTGAATAGTGTCTTATGCTATATCGCTCGTACTTAGCAACTGCGTCCGGTTGCCGTGTATCTAACACACCTGGTATTTTATGCAATACCACCATCGATTAAACTATTAAACTGTCTCACATAATAACAGCTACTACCGGCAACCGCGTAGCTTACGCAGATGATATCTTATACTGTCTCACATAAGTATGTAGATATATTATATCATTTTATTATATTAGATAATTATCAGATTATATTATCATTGTATCATCTCAAAACAACTGCGTCCAACCGTCGTGTAACAGACGTACCTGCACTCTTACACATCTCAGTGTAGAATATTGTAATATGTCGTCTCCCTCAATCTTTGCTGCATCCGGCCGGCTTGACGCCGACACACCGCCATCTTAACCATCTTTATAACAGTTGAACGCATGGGATGTCTCGTTACCTGCTGCAGCCAGTAGTGTAATAGTGTTATTGCCATTATGCTAGTTATAAGTCGCGGCACGTAAGTCTAGCGCTGAACGAAACGTGGAGGGGACGTACACGAATTGAATTGCACGAATGCGACTGGAGAGCCAATTAGCGCGACTTATGCGGGATAAGCCAATCAGCGCGACTTATGCGCAATAACGGTCACAGCTAGACTTTCGTGCCGCTACTTATACAGTATACACTAGTTCCAAATAATTTCACCCATACACTGTGCTGAGTGATAGTAGCATGAGTGACACTGACATAGTACTAATTTATACGGAGACGGACTCAGACCAACGCAGTCATATTATATGCTTTCGCACTACTCACTAGCGTTTATTCCGTCATGTGAATATGATGTTAAGTGATAACGGTGCGTTTCGGCTTGCATTAACGTACGTATATGTCGAATAATGTTATGTTGTTGTTATGCTAGTCGACGGTTTAATTTACATATGAATTTAGAAAATATAATGGTGTAAGGAAAGGCCTTTATAAACTGATTGTATTTATAAAGGCCTGTAAAATAATTTTGTAAAGTTTTAAATCTTCACATTTTAAATAGTTCTCTTCGTTTCTATTAGTAAAACAGTTTTAGTAGAGGCAATACTTTTACAACTTTTTAAAGATATATTTATGTAATATATAACCTATATATTATTATAACCATGTTCTTGAATTTTTACAATATAATTTTTAATATAAGTCAGACTTTAGTATCTTGAAGTATTGTCAAAAGTAACTAAAAAAAGTTTCAACGCGTAAATATTTGAGTGTAAATAATTGTTCTATTTTTACTCTGCAATCTGTATAGTAACTGTGATTAGAATATTAAAGTTTATTACTGGTTTTCAGATCATGAAATCTGATTTTATAAACTTTATGTTGATAATAATATTATGTACTGTATACTTGCCATATCTTGTGTATAAATCCTACTAATGTATAAAGTAAAAGATAAAAATTATATAGTTAGAAAATTGCTCATACACATGAGTAAGACGATGTGGTCCAGAGTGCCAAATTCTGTAAGATCTTATATTTAGACATAAGGTTGATCTCAACATTGTAAATATTATACTAATGTCAAAATGTTTATAGCCATATAAAAAAGTATTGCGTAGTCATACAAAATAATTTATATTTCTTAATACCATTCTGTATATATATATATATATATATATATATATATATATATATATATATATATTTTCTCAATCACGTTATTCTAATAGACAACAGAATAACTTCTATAGCTGCGTTATTATTTCCCTATTCATTAAGGAATTTCATACAAAAATGTCACATACCTACTATGAGACAATTGTTTAAATTTTTTAAAATGTACCTTTTAAAGTCGCAAAGCTTTCATATAAGTGCTTCCAATATTATATCTTGACAAAATATTTTGTCTATGAATAAGCAAGACAAAAATTAAGTGTTAAAGAGAATTTTCTATTAAATTTATAAATATTAAAGCTTTATTCTGATCACATATATTGTATTAATATATATTTGTACAAATGTTTATTATAGATATTGATTTGTGATATAGAATACAACGAGTATAATTTATAATCAAGTGCCTATTGTATATAACATTCAGATATTATAGATTGAAGAACAACATACATATTATATTGTTTTATAAAATAAGTGCAAAGCAGGTAAATAAAATTGTTTTACAATAAACTCTGTTTTATTTTTTTTTTAAATAGGTATGCCAAATAAAATATTTTTAAGCGCGCAAAGACCTATCAATAATCTAAGTATTTATGTATAGATGTAATAAATAAATATGTTGAAATTCTTACATAAGACAAACATATGTTTTCTAAGAAACATCCATATTATACGGCAAAGTTATACAAATAATATTCAATTGATGAATATATCTCCATATATAAAAATCAATTACTGTCCGTTAGTCTCGCTAAAACTCAAAAACGGTTCGACCGATTTTGATAAAACCTTTTCTGTTTGAATGGGTCCCTAGTTGGTTTAGATTTTGGTAGACATTTGGACCCGGTAGGTGGCGCTGTTGTCAAGTTCCAGAAATCATTCATGCGAAGCCGGGGCGGATCGCTAGTAACAAGAATAAAAACCGGCCAAGTGCGTATCGGGCCACACACAATGTAGGGTGTTCCGTATTTTCCCGTCACAATACGTCAACTCAGAAGGGACCCTTCTTGATACTATGAGCATATTTAAGTGACTTCACGATTTCACCGCTATAACGACTAAAGTTTTTCCTAAATAGGACGATGGCAACTGAAGAACTTATTTTCCAAGCAAACGTATAAGGAGTAGTATACAAAAAATATTTTTTTAAACTTTTCGATTTTTGAAAGTAATACAATACATGCCAAGTCCGTACAATAATGATCATATTTCCCAACAATTCATCCATATAGTATATAGTTCCCGGTGTCGGTATCTATTAGTGCAACCCTAAGATATACATGACCGTAACGAACCTTTCCCTCAACCACCACCGCTCTAAGCTATCACAAGGGTTTCCCGCGTAAACCAAAAGTATCACGAATGAAACTGTAGGCCTACAATAACTACTAAATAACAAATAAGCGAAAGCGGTATGTCAGGAGTGGTCTCTTGGGGATCGATCCTCTATGTCTACCGGGTAAAGAAAAACGTAAATCGATAGTAGTAATGCATAAGTTGTTTTCTTCAAAGATTTTTATGCATATAAAATCAAGCTTTATTTAGCATTTCCAGAACCAGCATCGGGTACCATCATCAGTTCAGTTACATGGTACTGGTACTATATTATTTATTGCATTGTCATCATTATCATTATTATTATCGCCCTTCAGCAAGTCCACTGCTAAACATAGGCCACATCCAAAGAACGCGATAAAGCACTGTCATGAGCTACCTGCACCCATCGACTTCCTGCATCTCTTACCAGGTCAGCACTCAATCTAATGGGAGGACGCCCTATACATCGCTTACCAGTTTGAGGTTGCCATTCGAGAACCTTTTCCCCCCGTCGGTTGTAGGTTCTTCGAGCTTTATGGTCGGTCCATTGTCATTCAGCTTACTGATTAGGCAATATCGCTTACTCAGGTGTTACTGCGTACAGCCTCATTTCGAAGTCAGACGCAAAAAAAAAACTCTGAGCCCTCTCAACAGCTCGCTGAGAGACATTGAACTTCTTCATATGGCAAGTAGCGAAAGATCACTTCTTAAATCCATAAGTCATGACTGGCATCAGGCACTAGTTGTATCCTCTCGGTTCAAGTTGGACTTACGTAGTCGGACAATGAGGACTAATAATCTTCCGCTTACCAGATGTCATTAGTTGAGACTGAGGTGAACTTTTTTGTTGTAAGTTTATCAGTTTCCAGAGTGTTATATTATTAAATACACAAAACAATTCATCAGTGGTTTGTTTTTTAGTTTTATGCACATTTCAAAAAAGTCTACTTTTATGAATATCTGTGGTCGGTTTATTTTATTTAATGTACCTAATTAATATACAATATAACTAATAGTACAGAAAGAAATATTAACCTTTACATTTTTCGAACAAATCAACTTTCCCGTTATGAAACCTGTCAAATATTACACCTCACTTTTAAGTGGCACCGCCCTGGTAACGGAAAAAATTTGTCCTATGTAAACATATTCGT